TTACTACTTGAGACTCTTGCTTTCTCATGTCGCTGATGAAAAATATTTGAATGATTTATTTTTATATTTTGATTTAAGTAGGGTTTTCTAATCATGTTATAAATTTCATTAAAGAAAAACTTATCTACTTGCGAGGGTATGAGGCAAAAAATAATACGCTTGCATACTAGTTAAGTTTTTTGTTTGGTGAATATACTTGACTTATATCCTCTAAGATGATTAACATAATTAGTAACTATTGATTTTTCATATCAACGAGCATTGAATTTCCATAAAAACTTGATCTTTTAACTCTCTTTCCCTATAATTAATATTGGAGTATCCTTGTTAATTATGATTAAAACAAAAGTATAATTCCCTTCATAATAATTATTAAATGTTACATTCTTAAGAGTAAATCATTGTGCATTTTTTCGTCTCACACTTCAGATTTTTTTTGAAGACGTGTTAGAGTTTCTTCTTAAATGAGTGATGATGTGGTTGAAATTCATAAACTTTTTATAAAATCATTTCATTTAAAAGTTTAATTCGAATCAAAATTGTTATTTATTTTATATTTATGAACAACACTATAATGAAGTTTGTCCTTTATTGACTACACAAGAAATCTGCATACGTAAATCTAAAGAGTCTCTTTATTTATTGATTATTGTTACTCAAATTTTGAAGATAAAAGGAAAAGTTTAGTCGAGTTGCTTAGAAGATTATCCTCTCTTGTCATATTCTACAAAAAGCAGACACGAAAAAGAAAAAGGGAAAAACATGAATGCAGGAACCAGGCTAGAAAGCAAATATAGTGCTGTATAGTGCTGTTTTGCTATTGTCCAAATGAATACAGAATAAACGCTTTCTTCTCTTTTGCAGTGTCGAGTCTTGTAAATCATGTCAAACTTGATTAACCACATTTACTCGGGAAGTGTTTATAAACGTTTAAAAAATAAATAATTATAAATGAGTGATGGATAAGAGCATTTCTAAGGAACTCTTTAAACATGAATTGCTCTATATTTTAAAAAGCCATCCTTTAAAATCATGCTCCAAGAGATTCCTCAAATTAATATTTTTAATTTTAAGAGTAGCTTTTGCTCACTCACTCTATAACTATATGCATTCAAAGTGTATTAATTTTAAATGTAGAAAAATATTAAAATAATCTAAAAAAAGTTAGCTAAAATAAAAGATGAAGAAAAGTACTAAATATTTTTTCAAAGTAATAAAATTAAATACTAAATATAAAGAGTTTGTTGGAGTACTTTAAAATTTTAACTCTTTAAATTTATATATACTCTCCAAATGATAGAATATTCTCTTTAAAAATAGAGAGTCTCTTGAAAATACTCTAAATATATAATACTTTATACCACGCCTACCTAAAAATCCCTAAACCTAAATGGAAAACTCATTCCATATGTAAGTTGTAGTCTGCATGGTATAGAATTATCCTACTTTGCCAGAATTTTATTGACATAAAGATTGACATTCTCTCACAATACGTCGACCTCGGGTGAATAGAAAAGTCTAAAAAGAAGTGTCAGTAATCCATTATGTCATAAAAATTCTATCACCGTAGCATTGTTGGCATAATATATGTGTGTACAAATCGACACAATGACAATTGTGAATGAGCAAGGCTAGACAAAGGCCAAAAAAATGATGTGACCTATTTAACTTTCGAATTACTTTTCCCACATGAACAATGCCAAAAAAAAAAATGAATTATGCTGCTCAAATAGGATCCTTTGTCACAGGGGCTGTTCTGGCCTTATTAGTGTAGCAGGCTGCAAAAACTTATAATCCTAGAGGCAGTACGCGAATCATATCAATATTGGAAGGGACCCAATCGTTAACAAAAAGTTGTATAAAATATTTGTTGAACAGTTGTAAATTATAATCTGTTTGGGGTCCAACATATCCAAGGCTCTATGATTAGAAGATTTGAGAATTGGTTGTACGGTCTTCTCTTCCTACAATTCCTCACTTTGCAACATTTTATTTATTTATTTATTCATAAGTACAACTAATTAAAGCATATAGCAATCTGGAATTTATTATTGAGAAGTGCTTGTAATTAATCATTGCATGACTTTATTTAAAGAACATATTTTTAATTTAAATGTGTGACGAAACACTAGACAAATGAGAGGCTAATATTGTTCGTACAAAAGAGGCTAAGACTGCATAATTTTTTAGTTGTTTAAATTTATTTAATTACAAACTATTAGCAAATTATTGTTTCTAAAGTAAATGATTTAATTATTAGAAATGGCAGGGTGTTTTCCAATAACAAAATAAAGGTTGACTTGGCCCATATCAGTTTCTTTAAAGAATATCAATTTAGCGGATGCTTAGCATCAATTTATGTGGTAGTAGAGTCCAATGCATAAAAATCTATTATAACTTTATTGGACGAGGTGATAAAGATCTATTGTCGTATAGATTGACACTAAGCATCAATGAAGCTAAATAACGTTACTCTTTTTAAAAATGAACTTAAAAATACGTAAGTTATAACACAATGTACGAAACTAATAGGGTAAATTCCTTTACAGATTCTCAACGTTTCAATTTTGACATTATGTTCTTAACTTTTCAAATTTGTGCTAGTGTTATATCCACCTAACAGAAAATTTTTTATTTAGATGTTAAATGTATATGCGAATGCACAAGTGATGTTGGATAACATTGTCCAAAAAAAGATTTTCTAGATTTCAAAGATTAATCGATGACGGTTCAATTTATATTAAGCCCTATGTTTCCCATTTTGTTAAATTTGAATTTTTTTAAAACCCATTTCCAATTATACATTTATTGAGATTCACGCAGGAGTTGATTGTGCTGCATCTGCTAGGGTCAGACAAAACTCCCGAATCAATTCGAACCCAGGGATTTTTCTTAAATTAAATACCCAAAAGGGTATCTGAATCTAGAATGACGGATTCGGTTCGGTTCTCGATTTTAGATCAAAACCCAAAAAATCGAATCTCCTTAATTTTTTTAATTAATTTATTTTAAATAAGTAAAATTATTTTATTTTTTCTAAATAAATTTGTCAACTAGTTAAGTTAGTTCAAATCAAAAGACACATAAAATTGGATTATGTTATTTTGTAAGAGTTGAGATTGAACATATCATTATAATTTGAATTAATGTAACTTTGTAAATATTAAAAAATTTAATTATAATACAAAACTAGGGAACCGAATCGATTGAAATTGAATTCGAACGGTTCCATAATTAAATTTAGACCCGACGATTCCACTTACTAAATATCCGAAAATTTCGGGTCGGTTCGGATCAAACTGGACCATGTCCATCCCTAGTATCCGCTATATCAGTCTCGGCTTTTGCAACCAGGACTTTCACATAGAGGAATGGGTTGAATCGGGGAAGTGAACTCCCCTTTTTGAGAGAGAAGAGGCTAGCACCCTCTAAGTTTACCACCCTACCTACTAATGGACTATGTGGGGAGTAAGGGAACGGGAGACTACCTGTTGAACGGACGATGGCACCTTGCTCCAAAGTGAGCTATGTAACGATTTTGAAAAATATCTCATATAAGGGGTAAAGTAAAGGAGGAGTCGGAGCTAACCGTAGTAATATAAATGTCCGATCCACTTCTATATGTAAGTAGAACTTGGTCCTTAGGAGACAAACCTTTTAGAAAATGTGTGTTAGATAGCCTTCCACGCAATCGGCTTATCGGGTTCTAAACGAGTTACAATTTGTATTAACTAAAGAAATGTTGGTTTTGTCAAAGTAATACACTCTCACAGGACTGTATATTCTTCGTGCTGGTGGTGGGTATTTTACCAAAGGTTTCTATCATATCAATCTAGTTGTGAAATTTTATCAACTTTTATTAAAATCTACTAAAAATTTGATTTTTAGCAATATCAATCGTGCTAAATTTTGCTGCTTTTGTACAATTTTTGCCTTCAAGTCAAATATCGTATGCAGCTCTTGATCATTTAATGAATAAATAGATGTTCATTGTCAGTGGAGATATTGTGCACACATTGTCAAAAGATTGAGAACATATATATGCCATAAATTGAAGGTTGAAGATATGGCCGCAATATATATGAAATGTTGGGAAGCCTCTTTACGCATATATTATACTGTAATACAAACTAATTGTTCTACTTCTACAATAACTAATTATTTAAACTTATTCAACGATGAATTTCATACAGTCAAGTGATATTAAAATCAGCTTTGATCAATAATTATTTGCCTGTAGGTCCTTGCGCAGATCCTACATTAGCCCCAAGACGGGAAATAATGAACATTTCTTGCACAATAATATCACAAAAGTCGTTTTTCACAGGTGTATAGTAATAAAGAAGAAAGATTATAAAGAATTTTTTTGGTGGAATAACACTTTTTCTCATGTGGAAGGATACAAACAAGCATAGTGCAGTTCATCTGTTCCCACCATTTATTGGTTAATCTCTCTTTATTTCCCCCAGCCACATGAGCTTGATTATTATTGTAAAGGGCTAAAATTTAAAGAAATGAAGTGTAAAGAATTTAGCATCAAAACACGTAAACGTCACGAGTTTAAGTCTAAATATTTCTATTTATATATGAAAATCGTGCACCTCTCAGATTTTTAATGAAAAGTTCCCTGTTTAATTTAAATAAAAATTAGATTTTTATTAGATTTTGATAAAAGTTGGTGAAGTGTGTGATTGAAAAGTTCATAAAAGTTGTGGATCTTATTAAATATATGATTGAAAATGAGTTTGAAAAAATGAACTATAAGAAATGAAGGCCAAACAATAAACTAAATTTGATGACCGAAAAGATGTATAAAAAACTTAAATTAAGACAAAGTGATTCAATAATTATTTTTATAAAAAATATCATCTGATTCTATTGTCACCAAGTCCTAATAACCACTTGTTTAATTTTACACGCCCACAAATGTGTGAATCCACATTCTCTATATATACTATCTTATCATCCATAGATTCCATACAAACTCCATGAGCCTCCCGATTAGGTAACTTAACAACATGATAATGTCATATCGGGCAGTTAGCACCACTGGTGTCACCACCGTGGACTGCCAGAAACAAGTCCGGTCGTGGAGACTTCTCCGCTCTTTCATGGAGCTTCTTGTTCCAACCTGCAACTGCTTCATAGAAGAAAACCGTGAATTCAAGGAAGAAAAATATATAAACAAATTCTTCTATGAAAATACTTCTTTCATTTCCTCATCCATAATTACAGGCACAATTTATGGCAATCGACGAGGAAAAGTTAGCCTCTGCATCCAAACAATCCCTAAATCCATGAATCCAATTCTCCTCCTAGAAATGGCAGTCCCAACGAGTGTTCTTGCTAGGGAAATGAAGGGAGGATTTCTTCGAATCGTGCTTGAGTGTAACACAACGAGGAAAAAAGCATTAGATTCAAATTCTCTCTTGTCTATGCCCCTATGGACCATGTACTGCAACGGAAGAAAAGTAGGGTTTTCAGTAAAGCGAAAACCTTCCAGGGCTGATATAGAAATTCTACGGCAGATGGAATCAGTTGTCGTTGGTGCAGGCGTTATAAAGGGAAAGGAAATTACTCGAAATGATGATATTATGTACCTTAGGGGAAATTTTGAACGAGTTCATGGATCCTATGATTCTGAATCTTTTCATTTGATTGATCCTGATGGTAATATTGGGCAGGAGCTAAGTATTTTCTTTCTCCGATCGCACTGAGTATCGCTTCCATTGAAGATATGGAACCTGTATATGAAGTTTTTCGCTCTTTTTCCTCCATGTTTATGTCTTTAAATTTGGGCTTGCATGCCACCCTTTTTTGAGTCCTGCATTTCTGCATGGCTTTATCTTCATGTAATTCTTGATTGGGTGTTTAAGCAAACAAAATTCTGGTGATTGCATGTTGAAGGAAAATTCTGGTGATTGCATGTAGTTCAGATATATTTAATTTCGTCAATTTCTCTAATTTTTTTACAATCGATCTTTCTTTTGACTCGTGGACACATTGATGAGTACAACACTAGTGTTCAAAAAGAGCTTAGTCTGGACCCCCAACGAATGAATATCGGTTAAATATAAAGTAATTAGATTTGTCTAAGAGAAAAAAATAGGGTACACTTCATTTGCAATTCTTAAACTTTGAGTATTTCTTCTCTTAACCATTTTTTATTTTCTCCCCATGGTAGTGTACTAGAATTTAATTTTCTGACTAATGAATGTTATTTCTTCAATGGTTTTGATTATGCTAAAATGTTTTTATGGATGTTTGCATTTACTTGTTATACAATATACTAAACTTGTCATTTATGCTGATTTACTTAGTAACGAGTGTAAGAATTTGAACCCAAATTCGCGATGAAATTTTCAATTTACCAACAAAAGATCTTTGAGAATTAGTGATGAATCTGAGACAAATTCCCCCTTCAAATTCTGTCGCCAACTTGTTTAAATATTAAACTAAAATTTTTAATATTAATAAGCAACAAACTTAACAATGGAATTATTCCTATAACATTTTTCCATACCAACATTTGATTTTTCATGAGAATAAAAATTCATCGTTACTCTAACATTCCGTCTCTATGCATGAGTATTTTTCTAGCAATATCTCATTTAGCTCGTTTGAAACCCCTTTTTTGGGTCAATAAATTTTGAAATAGTGATTTTTTTGAGAATATGTGATTAAAAAATAGGAAAAAGTTTTGGGTTTACACGTAAATTTGTTGTTTTGAAGGAATAACGATTGAAAATAAGATTTAAAAAAAAAAAAGTTGGAAAAATGAAGGTGCTAAGTAGCTACAAAATTTAATGTTTTTGTTTTTCAGTATAAAATGCTTGTTAATTTAGTGTGTTGAGTGTCACCTTTTTAAACTGGTGCGTTTGTTGCATGAGCTATTCTTGATTCCTTCTGCTGTTATACAAGCAATAAAGAAACAAAGTTTGTTCACAAATGTTTGAAGCATGTGAAATTAGATACTTTTTGTCTCCATTTTACTTTATTTTTTCTAACATACTTTTTCCTTGTCTCGACAATATTAGATGGGACATGGAAAAGGCCTTTTTTTGCTTAGAGGGATAACCACTACTACTGTTTGCTCTGGTCCCTAATCTTGAAAAGGGTGAAGCAATCTCATACATTAAAAAAGTGCTTAATCTCAAGCAAATATTTTGTCTTCAAACAGATTAAAATAAATTTTTTTAATAAATTTTGTGAAAGTTGTAGATCTTGTAAAATATGTGATTAAAATTTTTTAATTAACATTTTATTGAATTTTTTATCAACTTTTAATCTACATCAAACGAGGTCTATAACTTATTTCTTAAAACAGTGTTAACTTAGGGTGCGTTTGATTACCAATATTTTTCATAGAAAATGTGTTTTTTCTATTCAAATTCTTATTTTTGTACGTTTGATTGACATTTTTTTTCCATGAATAATATTTTCGTACTTTTGGTCATGTGACCATATTTTTATCAAAATCAAAAAATATATACTTTCTTAGTGAAAGTAGGATTTTATTTTCCAGAAAATTTACTCTCTTTCTCTCTCTCATCTACCCATCAATAAAAATTGGACAAGTATAATATTTTTTAGATTGAAAATTAAATTAATTAAACACATTTGATTAACAATTTCCATACAATTAAGTTCTAGACAATTAAATTATCTAGAATTTTTTTTTCATATAAGTTTCATGTTTATAATCAAACGCACCCTTAGAATTTTTGTGTGTTAAAATTATCCATGATTAGATAAGATGGATAATTTCTAAGAAAGATTACTAGAGGCATCAAGCAGATAAAGATAGGTTTAAACTAGATTCTGAGATGATGTTTGTTGTGCTTAAAAGTTATTTTGTGAGAAAACATGTTAAGTGTCAATTTTTTTAAAAAGTAAAGTTCTAAGTACAAAATGTTCTATCCAAGCCGAACCTAAAGTGTGTGACGCTCAACGTAATTAAATCCTAATGGTATTTTGCCTGTTGAGCTCTATGAGTTAATTTCACACATGAATTTGCTTGTATAACATGCATGAACAAACTTGAAACGGGTGAGTTCACATGAGTGGATTTGGGGTGAACTCATCGAACTTGATGACTAAGACTAGGGGTGTATTCGTCAAGCTCGATTCTGAATCATATAGGATAGATTGCATTGATGTCATGAACTTCAACTTTTGAGCAAAATGATGACAATATCTTATATCATATTCTAACCTTTTTTTTTCTTTGATGACAGGAGAACTCGCAGCCGCTACGCTTTTGAGTGCGCACTGGGTAAATCCTCGAACTGGTGCAATAACCTACAAACCACGCCAGTTAAGTAAACTGCACTAGACAAGCCATGTGCAACAAACTCGACCGAGAGAGTGTTGGTACGAAAAATTGAACTCGTGACTAAAGGTCTTTGCGCTCACCTACTCTACCAACTCAACCACCCCACGAGGGGCAATCATATTCTAATCTTTCTAAGCCGAATGCTATTCAAATGCCAACATATAATCATCCAACCCATGAGAAATATTACTTTTAGAGTTCAACAATTTAATTCGAGTGAGCTCTCGTCTTAGATCTTACATTATTAGAGAAGAAATATATTTATTTTTCAAACTTTTGTTTTCAACTATTCAACATGCACACGTATAAGCTGTACACAATTTTCATTACTCCAAGCCGAATTTGATCTCAAAATCATTATATAATCTGACAAATTATTGAATCACATCGTCTAAAAAATTAAAATTTATTAGAAAAGGGGGAATTCTTTGTCAAAATTTAGTCTTCAACAAATCATATCATTGTTTTATTTTTGCATAAAAAATTAGCTGTTTCTCATCAATTGGAATTTTTGTGATGAGCAACAAAAGAAGAACGAATAGCCCCACCCCTACTGTCTCATTAAAGCTACTTTGCTGCCCTACAATACAATAATCAAAGTAGAAAATAGCAGCCGCATGCAAATCCAAGCAACGATACAAGGTTCAAAATTTGCTTGCTCGACGAACAACCTGCAGAAAACGTATCTGCAATGTGCAGTTAGATCATATCAGAGAAATTGAGTGCAAAGCTCTATTCTATCAGTTACTTTAACAATTTAGAAAAATGAAGTAAGTCACTATTAACAAAAAAATCCAAGAAGGTGGGATTTACAATAGCTTTGACATGTAGACACAGTGCTTCACATGATCGTGCAATTCTTTTGTTCTTTAATACTAGCCAATACTATCTAGTCCACATTGACAAAACAAGTCATAAGAGACAGCTCTGAGGATTTATGTTCCACGAAGCACAATACACTTACCCAGCTGTAGCTGAAGATAGTTGTTCCGGATGTTCCACTCAAAATCCCAGTGCTTATTGTAGTTCTTCAGCGTCCAGTAAGCCCAACCAAAGGTGGCGGCATTATATACCTCTAACTGAGCTCTTCCAAATTCTTGATAGTCTGTTTGGGATCCACCGGTCACATTCCATTCGTTCACCCATTCCCCTGCAATCAGTTCATCTGATTACTACTTGATGAAGGAATGTAAACTGTAAGCTGAGATTCTAAGGTAAATAAATTACTAAATAGAGAAAATGACTATTGTAGCTTACCAATAAAGACAAGCGGTCCATTTGCACTATTAAGAGCCTGTAACTGTGTTTGTCTATTCTTATAAATATACTGAATATTGTCTAGAGAACTCATGTTAGCAAAAAAATTGTCGTACAGATTGTAATAATGCAAATCGACTACTGTATTCTCTGAGCCTAAGTTAGATTGGTAGAGCTCAAATGGATCCGCGTTGCCAACTCTTTGGCAGAACAATACGTATGCTGTTGATGAGTATTTTCTAACAATCTGGTATCCTTGTTTGTAAAATGAAACCAGGATATCCAGAGGAACAGAGCCCGCTGATGGCTCATTTAAAAGCTCGATCCCCAGCAAGGCAGGATGATTGGCATACCTGCAAAAGAGTTAATCATGCCTTGAATAATTACCTTTGTAGTGTGCCTGTTCATACAAACATATACTGAGAGTATAAGATACTCCATTGGTCAATTGAATAAAAAAAGAAGATGAAATAATTAAAGGGAGTAAATTGTACATAAATCCCACTTGTATGTCAATAATAGGGAAAAAATTATTCAGAAAATGAAATGCAAGAGCTAATAAGCAGCTTAAACCAAAGAGAGACAGAGAACAACCAGCTATATAGCAGTACAACAATGCAACAAGATTTGATGTCCTTAATGAAGTAATTGCTCTCCCAACCTGATATTAGCTTTATTGAAGCTATCCCATCGATGATCTACTTCCTATCAGCTAAAGTGGAGGATTTACTTCCTATTAGCTACAGAGGAGGATTTAGTGCACGATGACTCAAGTGATCTATGGCTAGAAACATGAAATATCATGACATGTTTGCAGTCAAGGACTCTGGATAAGATTAAAGAAGAAGTTGAAATCTTAAAGGTTGTACAGAACAGTATTTTTGAATACTGTCTAACAAACATGCAAAATAATGCAAATAAGGGAACAAAAGCCCCCGTATTATCATCTATTCTTAAAGAGGCAGTTTTGCTAGTAAAAATGTCCCTTTTTTACTGTAGAATCTGACTCCAGCATCCTTCGTCTTTCTTGTCCTCACATTTTAATTCATTAACATTTTCAGATCCAGGAAAGGGAATCAAACATTCTCCTTCTAGCACACCACATCCATAAGATGAAATAAATTCTTTCAAAATTCAAAATCTTAATACACCTGTATTTTGATGTTTATGTTGAGGTAACCAATTTTCACGACTGAATGCCCCAAAATGCTATCAGGACTAGAATTGTGGAATACAATTCTGTACTCGTTAAAGCAACATCATTTTACAGTGCTATGATTTGATAGATTATATTGCTATTAGGGAAATT